TCAAGCAGATGACGTTCTCAACTGAGTAATGCTGTTATGGTCACTCCTCTGGCCGCCCCCCCTCTGGAAACTCATTACCCAATCCGACAATCAAGATTTCGGCACGAACTGATTACCTGAGGTAATTTGACCCGCGGAACACGAATATCACATTCGGTTGACGAGAAAACGCTTGCTTTCACGTTAACTGAACGATTGAACTCAATCGTTTTCGCGTCAAACGAATGTGATATTCGGGCTCAGGGGGTTCAAAACACCCCCAGAAACGAGTTTCTGGCTGATTTGTGATTCTGGCCAAAACTTCGATGCCCCGAAACGCGTCCTCAATGGATCCAGAGAGGGAAATCCCGCTTCAGAGAGAGTTCAGAGATTAGGTGACCGAAAACCATCACTCGATCTGTGGAGTAAGACATATCACCTGATAGGTTGAATCTACTTTGCTCTGCTGCGGAGTAAGCCTCTCCGCCGCAGAATTCCAAAACATCTAAGAGTAAAAGCCTCTTGCAGGAGACGAAGCAAAAAGTTTCTCGCCAACGGGATGCAAACCCACAAGCGATCTCTTTCGAAGCGAGACCGTTCCCGGTGGGACACGGTGGCATTGTACAGCAGTCGACCAGCAGCTCTTACGAGTCAAAAGTTGCATTTTCGCGCAACTTTGGGACCAGCCCAGAACTCGTCTGGGGCTCCCGTAGCACCTTTATCTGCATCATTCGTTACATCAGCATCCGAGTGACTCCCCCATCGACATGTACCTTAGTTCTTCCATTCAAATGTTCCATGGCGAAGTCTTGTGAAAACAACCATTCCCATGTAGCGTTTATTTCAATTCAGAGACGACGGTTGATTACCTGACAGACATTTTTTGGCTCAGAAAGGGAGAGGAACTTGCGCTGTCGTTAGTTCCTTGTGCTAGTTCTAAACTCGACTAGTTCATGGCGCTGCTAGGCTGGCCGAGCCGTGTGGGGGGGGGGGGTAGTGGCTATGCAGGGTATACTCATTTTTATTAGACTTTTTCGCTAGTTCATGTTAACTAACAGGTTACACTTTGACGAGACGTGTACTTGTGAGCTTCCAGAAAAGTGGACCACTTTGCTTACAGGAACTCACGGTCTTCACAAGATAGACTGTACGAGCTTTGTTAAATGATGATGCCTTGATGCTTACACTGAGCCGTTTCGCTGTCTTAGGATACTTTAGGGCTCACCACTTCGCAGCATTATCTTCCCTATTTACTGTGGCACGATTTGTTCCTTTTTGTGCACGAGTAGAAGACGAAACTAGGTCAAACGGGTCATCATTATTAGTCGCTTTTTCTAATAAGGAATTAGCCAAGAAGGTGCAGATCGGCTTGATAGGGCACCATATGGTATTTAGCGGAGCTGGTTCAGGCCAACTTGTGAGTTTTAACCAAAATGGCTCACTTTTGCCATTTCGTAGCTTCACAGGGATTACTGATTTCACCGAAGTATAAACGTTAATTAACAAAGCTATGATGTCATTTACGAACCACAAGCTGTCTTTGCGGCGCGTCCGCGGAGCGCGTCGGGCTGACCATGTGGTGGCTGAGGCTGCGTTCATACCTTACGTCGACGTCGACGTAAGTCACGTGACCGACGTTTTCGGCGACTAGTTCGCGAAGTTGGAATACGTATTGAACCCGGATAATATAGCGTTAAGGCGCTATATGATCCGGGTAAAAAACTGGCTTTCGCTACATGGTCTATGTTTCCCACTTTACAGCATTTTGTTTTTCTCATCTCTGCTCTGCAAACCAAAGTTTGTTGCTCTAATGTTAGATATTGTCGATTACTGTCATGCCTTGAGCGCAAGTAAAGTAATAAATAATCAAAGTTGAAAGGGTGGATGAGAGCATATCACCAAGAAGCATTCGATGGCATTAAGCTAACTATTCGTGAGTGATTTTCTAGAGAAGCTAGGGCAACTGAGAAAAGCCTAATGTCAAAACATTCAGAACAACAAAGAGTTTTTGGATGCTAGCTCCGTAGCCCTCAAACTTATAAGTGAAAAAACGAGCCTTTTCTGACATGAAGGGGAACACTGCTGAAATCCCCGTCTAGAATAGAATAGAAAAAACCCGTCTGAGCATAATGCCAATGATCGCTGACAAGCTACTTGGTCGCGCAGCAGTGCGACTGCGCGCAAAGACAGCTTCTGATTTGTAAATAACACCAGGAGCTAGCGAGAGTGCAACTTGCCCCTCCCAAGCCGAACAGCGTTAATAAGTGTCTGACAAACATGGTCGAACTGCTTGACCCGCTATGTAGATGGAGAAATATCCCGGGGATGCAGAGCACGAGAAGCTGAGAAGCATTTCGAAATGGTGCACTCAAGAACCCAAACGATCCTGCAGACAACTGCCGTAGGACAATTAGGTATCAGCAGGAATATGCTATAAGCCTCGATCTCGACCTCATGGGGAAACTTCAAAACAGGCCGGGAAAATGCCGCTTGTTCACAAATTATGGCTACAAAGGCCGTAAGGTGTCGCAAAACTCAATAAAGTGCAACAAATTTGGGCAGGCTTTCCTCGGAAGTATTCACCCTTAGGTTCACACGGGATCTTCTTCAACCCTGAAGGCGCTTCTGTACTTCGCCGTCCTACTCTAAAATGAATCTCGCACCGTAGCACTAGCTGGACAGGGGGACCGTTTTTTTGAACCTTCTTGACTTCTTGTTTGCTTTTTGCGGACCACTGCCACGTGTTTATGGCTCATGGCCTGGCCTGGAAGAGTTTAATGACTTTCAATGATAGCCATCACGTGTCAGGGCAGCTCATAAAAGTCGTAAGGAAAGGCGTTCGAGATTAACACGGACACTGGAAAGCTGGATTCACCCTATTTTTAATGCAGATAATTTCCACATCGTCGTGGGTCGAGACGAATTTTAACCGTGCCGTTCCGCAGCTCGCGACAGAACGGCACATTTTACATTACTGTGGCTAGCACTTATATTATAATTTGCGTTATCTAGAATAAATTTTGACCGAGTCCGCCTTGGGGAGGCATTTTGTTCTAGTTGTTATCAATCAAGACCGGGGCTCCCTGTGGAACTCCTGTAAAGCCATGCTATAGCAGGAGCAGCTTGACAAGAATCTACAGGGCACATTCATTGCTAGTTCCTATTGAATTGAATCAGAAACGTTCAACTTAATAGAAACTAGCAAAAGAAACCAACAAATGTGCAAAATGCCACTCCCAAGGTGGACAGCCGCTATATTTTCTTTCGAAATAATTCTAGTTCATTGCAGGTTGGCTGCCAGGAAGTATCCCACTCTGAATGTAACGGTATGCTGTTGCGATGAAGATCTTTGCAACCTGCCGGATTCCGAGAAGCCCACCGATTCACCGGATGAAGTACGGTCTCCGCCTCATCGACAGAGTCGATTTAAGCTCTCGAATTCGTTGTAGAATTTCTTCCCAGTAGAACTACGGTGTTTAAGCTTCTCAAGGATTTTCGGTGTTCATAGCGTTTAGAGCTCCTCCTTGCTTGCTTCTCTAGGCAGTACCTGCTTATATGGCACCATAAGGCATAGGCTGCATAGGCACGGTAAGCTCTATTACCGTGTCTTCTCACTGACGCACCACCTCGGCGGAAGCGATGTACACCGCTGAAAGTTGCACAATGGTAGGACTGACTCCGCCCACCGCCAACTCTGAACGCAGCCATTCATGTTGTAGTCATTCATACCTCGCAGAAACGTTCCACGCTTGTTTCCTTCATAATCTACACATCAGTTCCTCAAAGAATCGTCACTGCAAACACTTGTGCAATACTAGTACCTGCTCCTTAATAAACTAGCTTGTGACGTCATCAATATATCATTTGTGCTTATTTGAAAGGTAACCATGAGCTTCATTTGTCCAAAAACACGGGATTATTCGTTTAGTCACTATCGGTTACGGTAATACGGTTGAATATACTCTGTTGCTTATTCATCTTTAAAGCTGTTATCTAATAAACATTTCTGGTTTTCATTGTTAAATATTGAAATGTAAAGGGAAAGAAGACAGCAAACGAGAATCCGACTGTCTTTCGAACAACCCAGAAGGGGGGGGGGTTGTCGCCCTTTTGAAAGCGGGTGGGCGAAAAGGATATTGCAATCATTCATCATTCGGAATCATTCATTCGATATACTGTAGTTCATTGAGGACGGTTGGAGTGGAGAATGCACAAAGGCAACCACACTTTACCTTGAAGGCAGACACCAGAGCTACAAGATGCGACATCCGGATGAGCGTCGCTCCTCGCCTCCTTGAAAGCCCTGGGGTAAAAGTACCCTCAAACCTGGGTAACTTAACCGGCTTGCGGTTTGCCCAGTCATTGTGTGCGTTCACGAGACCGACACATTTGACCTCACGCGCCTTGTCGGAGGTGCTGTAGTAGGGCTGGGCACTATGCAAAGTACGCTGCCTCACATTTCGCTCTTCATTACCGGATGTTTGCTGGCCAAGTTACATGAGCGCTTTCGCTCTAAACTGCTCATATTCGCACTCTGAGCGAGTCTCACAATCAGACGACGACTCCATTTGCGTGGAAGTAGTCGAAAACAGCTGCGAACACATTCACCCCACACTTGGCAAAGATTAGGACCTACTGAGGAGAGTGCACAGTTGTCCTTGATGTACAGTCTACACTGATCGCATGGGCGGAGACATCCAACAAGTGTGTCTTCATAATAGGTGCACTCCTCCTTCCCATGATGAGTGTGGAGAGGAAAGATGCGTCAACGAGGATTGCAAAGTAACCTCCACCCATAAGATCAATGTGGACTGTCTTCGAGCAACATGAGGATAAATTTGGGGGGGGGGGGGCAGGAGGTGGAGAGGTGGCGAACCAGTAATCACGTGACCTCTTGGTGCAGTGACCAAAGAAAATTCCAACACATGTGTCCAGACACAATTAATATGAGAATTTTTACTCCATAGAACGAATACAAAACGAACAGTGGTCGCGCCATGCTTCTGTGAAAGAGTTCTTGGTTACAGTAATTGGTGGTCAAGAATGAGTTGTTGGCGTAAGTCGAACCGTTCCAGTTCCATTTCTGGCATTTCGTGAGGAAGCTGAATTAACAAAATTTTGGTTTTACTGAAGTATAAGCGCTGTTCGGTTTGGAGGGTGTTCTTGCTTTCCCTACTTCCCGTCAACGTGTTCATCGCTTTACAAGAGCTGACAGATGGCTTCCAAAAACTCTGACTGGTATCACTTTACAAGACTTCACAAGCCTCCAATTAATGGTTCAAAACGCACATGGGAAGTACTAAAAGTACAGCATCCCCCCCACGAAGCCTATTTGCGCCGCCGTCGATCAGGCATGTTGACAAGTAAAACTCACATCCGTAAGCGTGTTATCTGAATCCTCGCCGTCTTTCTTGCCATGCTTCTTTCCTGACTTTCCTGAACAAATCGAACAGAAATGAATGAATGAGAGCTTCGAATGCTTGAACCCACGTTTAACTTCTGATATCCTTGCGTAATTTGGATCTGACACGAGTGGGGGTGGTGATTGAAATGGTGGTAATTGTTCGTTTCTGAAAGGATAGATTGAAGATTTACTCCCCCTGCAGCACTCACCGCTTAAAGGCACAAGGCACGATAAATTCTCAGTCCATACAAGTTCGATACGCCTTGCACGGAAGTATATTGTGCCTCCCAGCAGGCGCTGCGTAGCGACTTTTCCATCCGAACGTACCGTTATAGCGCTTAACTACGCCTGTAACACTGCCCGCCCAGAACGCCCCACTGCAACCGCCGCACTCACGAGGTGGCCGCACGAGCTACACTCGAAAGCCCCTTAGATGGGGTAGGCGTGGCTGCGTACTTCAACTAAGCGTCGTGATGACTATGCTTTTGGGGAGATATTTTCATTTTGACCCAAATGTCTTCACGTCTCTGTCCAACAAAGAACAAGATGGCGGTTGTCTCAAATTGAAATATCCCACGAGTAACCAGTTCTGTGCCATGTTCGAATGCCACGCCTACCCCGTCTCAGGGATAAGGAGTATACATCGATGCTGGAACTGCTTTCTCTTCATTTATGAAGTACAGTTGTAGGTGAAGCACTGTTAAGTGGATGGATGAATGAATACACTATACGTGCAGCGTATCTACCAGAGCGGTTAGTTGGCACGAAGCCCACGGGAAACTCGTCCAAAATTGCTCGTCCAGTACCGCAGAACAAAGGTTTCTTCGTAGGTTTTTCACCGTTTGCCTTCGCTTGTTTCGTCGTTTTACCGCTGTGTAGCGCCCCCGCTACTACTTTGAGCGAGTACAAAATCATCGTGCCTAATGCCCTCAATTTTACAATCCACTAAGACCCACTTTCTACTTAAATCCTTCCGTTGATCAGCTGATCGTGGTGGTGAACGCGCACGTGCAGGCTTTGGCTCTTCCGCGCTTTTCTTAATTTCCTTTTCCATTTTCTTATTTGCCTATAAAAGTCACTCTCAAGGTAATCTTTGAAAGTTATGTTTCAAATCTAATGACGTCCTGTGTCTATAATAAGAACCGTTGAGCAGACCTTTTTCGATGATCGGAAACACATCCACCACTGACTGCAGCTAGAAAATCTACGAAATGAGAGTGTACGGAGAAATGGAGCGGTTGAACATTGTTGATAGGATGGGCTCTGGATCAATAAGTAAAATTGATAAGTGAGTGTTATCATTCATGACGACTATTTGGAAAGTGGAGAGACGGAAAAGAGAATCGTAATTTACCGCACCGCCGCGCACGACGCACCGTGGAAATCCAGGGTGTGCGTTAGCTTTTCGGCTCGTGTACAAACTCACCCGTGCGCGTATGCGGCGCGGTATTTTGACGTCACCGCGGCAGGGGTGAGCGAATGGTGATGGCCTGCGTCTCCGCCACTGTGCTCCATGTGGAAGGAAAAGCGAGAAAGGAGGATTGAACAAAAAGCGGATGCTTATAGGTGGCTTGGCGGTAGTGGTGAAAGAATACAGAAAAGTTGAGTATGAGAGCGTATTACTCCAGTCAACGGCGAAACCGGCTAAATTATTCCCTTTGATTATGAAACGACGCACGCAGCTTCTACGCAAGCGTTATACCGCAATGAGGTCATAACCAACTGCTGGCAATTTGGCAACCTTCACCTTAACTTTGCGTAAGAGCTGTTCGCGTCGTTTTTACAATTGAAGGGAACTATTTCGCCAAACCTTTCCCGTCCTTTATATCCTCAAATTTGAATGGTTGGTGTGGCGTGGCGGAACACGTCTCTCTCGCCGCGAGCTGCTACGCTCTTTTCGGCATCTCTTGTTGGTGTGTGAGCCCGTGTGTGGTGGTGGTCATGATGGCGTGGAGAGCTCGTAGGGTTGCGACTTCTCCAGTGTGTGTTGTATATATATAGTGGGTGGTTGAAGTACTGCGAGAGTACATATATCAGTGGGTGGCGGTGGAGATTTTGTGGAAATTGATGCGAAAGGAGTTACGTGTTGATGAGTTGGAGAACTAGAGAATATGGAAAATCGGATCTACCCTGATAAGATTTGGATACGGTCAGCTTGGGACTATGCAAATTGGGGGGGAATGCGGCGGAGACGTATAGCGAGTAGGAGATCAGCGATAGCTATCCCTGCGGTCTCCTCCGCATGCCGCAGGCTGTCGCTCGTGTGCCCGAGTCCAGCGATGCGTATACGCACGGGTGGAGCCCCTATTCCCTATTCCGCAGCTTTTCCAAATTCTCCATGTCACTAGGATATTGGTGTCAGAATTACAGTCTTCGTTCGCGAAAACGGACATTCTGCAGGCGTTTGGTTGGGGGGGGGGGGGTGTCAGTCTCTTCCCCACTAACTGTGGAAGTTATCAGGCAACCGCAGCCGTGCCGCGCCAAACTCAGCCCCCTGAAACGCTCTGACGAGTCGAGGACAGCAAACGCTACATTTCGCGGTCAAAGGTGAATTAATGCGTTCGTCCTCAGCTGGGAGAGTTCGAGAACGAAAAAATTCAAAAATTAATCATTCGAAAAAGTTGAAGAGAGCAAAATGATGCCTTTCGTATCTTACTGACCATAAGGCGTTGAATAACGCATTAGAAGCGCAGCGAATCTGCGAAACTCATCATTTCAGCTGCTGATTTCTGAAGCTGCTCTTGAAAATGAAGAGCAGAGCGAACGAATTACACTGCATCGAACCTGGAATATATCGCTTCTTTCTTGCGCCAGAAAACACTAGCAATTTTTCATCACGTAATTACGGCGGCGTCGTTATTCCATAGTGGGCTCAAAAAGACTCAAAGAGCGGAGATCCTGAAGCGCACCATATTCTTAACACTCATGCACCGGCAAAATCCGCAAAAATGCTGTAGATGTAAAGCTGCGGTCATACTTGGCAGCAGGGTCCAACATCCTTCAGCAGCGTCCACCAGCGACCAGCAGCTTCTCGCGGCCTAGGGATGTATAGGTATTGTTCTAGCGACCAGTAGCGTCTACCAGCTTCCACCAGCGTCCACTAGGGACCATCAGCGTCTGCCAGCGTCCAGCAGCTTCTAGAGGGCTAGGGAAGTATAGATGTCAATTTGGCGACCAGCAGTGTCTACCAGCGTCCACCAGCGAATAGCAGCGTCCAGGAGTGGAGAGGGGCTATAGGAGGGTAGCTGGTGGGGTAAGGGGCATAGTAAGGTAGCAGACTGCTGGTAGGGACAGTAGGAAAGTACCAGCTGTCTGGTACCCTCCTACCGCCCCATACTGTCTACTCCTGAACGCTGCTAGTTGCTAGATCGATGCCTATACTTCCCTAGCCCTCGAGGCGCTGCTGATCGCTAGTAGACGCTGGTGGACGCTGGAAGACGTTACTGGTCGCTAGATCAATATCTGTACCTTCCTAGTCGCCGACGCTGACGGACGCTCGGAACGCTTGGGTCGCTTGTGGACGCTGCTGGTCGCTGATGGACGCTGCCGCAAAGCACGAACGCAGCCTAACAGGCATAGAAAGATTGAGCGAAGCCACAAAAACAGCTCATCATTTCAGCTCGTCGCGGAAGCCTTTTCGCGACCTAGAGACGTCTAAAGGCTTGCAAACTTCGCAGAACCTCTTGAAACTTCTTAGCGTTCTCGTTCTGTATATTGAAGGGCAACACATTCTTTCGGATAAGAAAACAATCAATCACTTTGAAAGAGTATGCCAAGACCCGGGTAAGTTCTGTTAGAGTGATGGCAGGTGTCTCTGAAAAGTTTCTCTAGCAAATCTCTCTCCTAGTTCAGAATCAAGCATAACGTTGAGAAAAATTGGGGACACCTCACTGAAACTGACTGTCATTGCGATTCCCCCTCCCCCCTCCCAACTACTGGGTCATTCCCGCTACACCTCTTCATCAGCTCCTTTTTTAATCACCATCCCGCATTCACGTTGGCACAGCTGTGTTGGCTACATACAACCTCCCCTTCCCCCTTCTCAGCGAGCTAAGTACGACCCCTCCGTGTACGGTTCCTCAACGGTTCCTTAACCGTGTTCTAGTTATTAACCTCTCGATGACCTTCACGCTAAGCGGAGAACAATTTTTAAGCTTATTTTTTTATGTGTAACTGTGCAAATATGCTAAAGCCATTGAGCGCCGCAACTTCGAACCAGAAACTTAAATCTATCTCAGCCAGTAATCGTTCATTCCAGGATGGGCAGAATGTAGCACGACTGGCAGGATGTAGTACTGCTTACCATGCATAGGGTCCTGTGAATAAGTCCCGAACGGCTTCCGCCTGAGGCAACCTACCCTTCTACAGTCAGTAGGCAATGATCTGGTGCCAGAATTCCGTCTGAAAAGTGAAGACAATTATACATGGGTTGGCGCACTGAAATTCCTGAGTAGGTAGCCAGTACGATTCTGAATGGGAGAGGAGATGCGTGGCGCATAAAAGTAAGATACGTAACGAAGAAACAAGCTTCTATGGATGTAAGTGAAAAAGAAATTTGCCAAACACCCTTCATAAATATGCTGAGGGCCCTTCTGGTCTTGCCTTCCTTCCCCTATGTAGCCATCGTCCATGTTTCGTCAACCCTGTCGCACTTGAGAGCCGGGGGTGGTCAGACATCGAATTGATCGGTCTCAGCGACTAAACGGTTTCAAGGCGTATCTGTGCCTTTGGAAGTGTATTTCTTTCCTCAATATTTGTTTTTCTTTGTTTCTAATTGGTGAGGGCGCCGAATGGTACTTACAAATTTAATCTATCTCAAACATTGTGAAGACCTGTCCTGTGAACCAAGTAGCTCACTTATTTCATTTCGTAGTTTCACACAGTTCACAGGTTTCATAAAGTGTAATGTGTTAGTTAACATGAACCAGCAAAAGGAACTAGCGAGAGTGCGAAAATGACCCTCCCAAAGCGATCAGTCTCTAAAAGAGGTCTTAGAAGAGCTTTCACAAAAAGAGGAGTGACCGAGGTAACGGCCTTCAGATAATGGAACGAAAAAAACGTACAACTTTTTTGCGACACCAACGTAGACATTGAACCGTACCTACTGTAAAGCTGAGGAATGCTCTACATCACCGCCCACAGATAACCAGTTCATCGCACACATCACCGAATGTTCGCCACTTGTTTTTGGGGTCATTTAATGCGCTGCTTCTCTGACGCCTGTGGTTTATTGCGGTTCTCTTCTTAACCACTGACGATCTTAACGCCCATTAATTGGATCATTTTCTGTTATCCCGCGGTTCAACGTGCCTTTTTTGTGGCGTTTCAAGGGCAACTCGGGAACGACACTTAGCCATCCATTCATCTTCTTAGCACCTTATAGAACGTTTTTTGAGATTTGGTACTAACAAACAGCGGCTAAATTGGCGATTAATATTCGTGCTCGTTCATGTACTCTGTGAGTCCTCTAGGGTCTTCAAAGTAGAGCCCACATATTCTTATAATTATCTAAGCTCTTTGTAGAGAGAAGTAGTGTAGACTGCAACGAACAGCACTGTATAAGTTTCACGTCAGAAAGTGGTAAGGTAGTAAAAAGACACATGTTGCTCAAGTGACTCCGCCCACATAGGTAGATGCCTTGTCTGCTGTCTTGCTCGTTTGCATGCTCTCTCACTGCTTTCTTTTTCTCGCCCGATATCCACGTTGATTCTTTGTCTATCGCTTCGTACAGATAGGGCCTTATATGGATCGTTTCCAACGATTTCCTTTCCCTTTCTTGACGAGCACCGTCGACTGGCCTAGTTCATCGCGAAGTCTACCTTTGATTGCACGGAGACCAGCACTAAGGCCGGGCTCCCGTGTCCCCTAGTAACTTTCCTTTTTTCCATGCCACATCCAGTGGGTGTTGGAGTAAGGGAGAGGTCAGGGCTGGGCACTATGCGTTTCACCGATAGGAATCCTAGCGGAAAGGTCATATTTTTCCCTGGACAATAAATGGTGTTTATGATGGACTTCTTAGGCACTTTTATCAGCGGACTTTTGAAAGAACACTGGTAAGAGTGTTAGATCCGGTGAGGAAGCGGAAGCGGCGACGGGGAGGGAGGGGGGTTTCGGTATACGAGGGGGAATTGGGGTGAGTCGTTTTCATCGTATATTGCGAAATTTTTTCCAAACAAAAGACGGCGCTTGGAGCCAAGCATAGTCGACACCCCTCCCCCCCCCTTAATTTCCTCGATTGAAAGGCGAAGCCGTTCTGTCGGCACCTCCATGTGGGACAGGTATTACGGTCTGGGCAGGCTTCGAGGTTGTGATCGAAGAGCGGGTTTGTGGGGGCAAGAAGTATGGACTATCTTTTTACTGCGAAATGAGAGATTCACGAGCTTCATCTCTGAAAATTGATCCGACAAGGTGATTGTCCGTCTTCAGGTCACTCACAGCTCCAAGCAGATCATCTCCCAAAGAGCGTTCTGTTTCTCTCCTCCTGCTCCAGTCCTTCTGCCAATCACGCAACATTATCCTTGGAACGTCTCAAGCGGGCGTTAGAACGAGTACTGTGCGCGCGGAAACGTCTTTACTTAGGTTAATTCTGAGCCCGCTTTAATCGTTTCCATCGAAATTTATCTATGTAGGTTGCGCCTATCTTCAGTCACTATCGATTTCATCACTTTGAGATGGGAGCGCTTTTTACCGATCTTTTTCTGGTTACATAAAACCAGTCATGAAAGGATAGAAACGTTTAGGAAGGTTCAGAAGTTCTCGAGGCTTCCCAATCGCAATTGTCTTCAAAATCTTCTTGGATCAGGGCTCGAGCTGAGCGTCGCTGGTGAAACCTTTTGCAATATTCCCCTGCCCTCCCCCAACTTCCCACCCTACCTACCATTTTTAACTCCTTTCGCCAACTTCCTAACCCAATTCCGAAATTATCCAGTTTTCTACAAAAAAAATGCGTTTGTGGGGCGCAGGAGCGAAGCAGGATTGCGGGTGACATGCAACTAGAGAGAACAACCGTAAAGGTCCTAGAAGGCCTAGATTCAGTCCTCTCTGCATGCGAGCGGGCGCACATGGCTTAATACAATCCCACCCGACGGACCCCCCCCCACGTTGGATAGCAGAATTGTTCAGTTGATAGCAGAAAAAACAGCTGTCAAAAGAAAACTCGTGAGTCCGAATGCGACTCTCTCCCTCCAGGGACCAAATACAACCCCGTAATACGGACTTCCCCGCACGACGGGCACTATATCGGATAGCCGGGACGGTTACACAATTCAATGGCTTCCCCCTAATTCCCGCGATTCCGGTGAGTTCCGCGCGTCATTCTGCGTCCTCCGGGAGTAGGGTTCACTGAGTTTTATTTCTATTCAGGAACATCACGACCTTTTTCGCGCGGGCACTCGTTAGCGGATCAGATACGAGAGGCGATGAAAACACACGCGTCGTTAACGAGTCACGACAGTTTCAATCAAGTTTTGGAACGGACCTTTCTATAGAAACATCGTTCAGTGTTTTCACAATTCGTTTTAACGCCGATAGGCCCCCCCCCCCCCCCCCCCCCCCCCCCCCCCCCCCCCCCCCCCCCCCCCCCCCCCCCCCCCCCCCCCCCCCCCCCCCCCCCCCCCCCCCCCCCCCCCCCCCCCCCCCCCCCCCCCCCCCGTTTTGTTCTCCTTCTTGAAAGGGGAGTGACCGCGGGCAAGCCAAAGGAACTGTCTCAAAAGTCCAGCTTTTATCGGAAAGTATTTTGAAACCTAATTTGAATTGTTCACTATCTTCGTTTCAGTGGTTCGCACATTTCCTGCAAACTTTGCAGTGATAATCCAACAGTACATACAACCTTACACTCAAACAGTACGAATCGTAGTAATCGATTAATTGATTTTATGGTGCAGGTGTAGAACATTTCCCTTTTTCCAGAGATGATTTACATTATTTTATCCTCATTACTGGTGGTCGGAGTTCGATCCATGACAGATCATGAAGACCGTCAGATAATCCTCACAGCACATGGCATGAGCATAGATGACGTCGACAACCGAATTGTTATACCAAGTAAGTTTTAGAGTTGTTGAAAAAAGAGGGGGCAGCCTACCAGTGCACGTTTTCCTCTTTCCTGAGTGGAAAATCGGCGTAAATCAGTGTTCTAACTAAACATTCCTGATAAACATGATTTCATGTAGTCCTGGAGTTTCCTTCACTGAGACGCGAGCGGTCGCGAAGTGCCGACGTCCAAATGAACGGAACTCTTTACGCCTTTCGTAATTCGAAAGCGTGCTTGAACATTGCCAGTTTCTAGGGATTTCCCCAGCAGTAAATAAGTAAGATAAGTATAGGTAAGCTTAAGTAACTTGAACACCCGCACGTTTGTGCCTAGGCCGTTTACGCGACCTCACGCGTTCAGTCCAATCCTTTTCCGCCGCCTGTACTAGTCGCCCCATATTGTAAGCTACTTCCAACGCCGTCGCAGCTTTTCCATGTTTCTGGTCTTATTCACACACTTATTTTGAAAAATCGAATAAAACACATTCAAATGCTTATTCAATTAGCCCTCTGCGTCCGTTCTCCGCCCTATGATTTCGACATTATTCTCAGTACAAGACGGACGCATACCTCCGCTGCCTTGTATTATGGCAAATGCAGGCAAATATGAACACGGTCAGACGTTCACCAGCAAGAACTTCCACTATCAATGCACCAATGGTACAGCCGAAGTTGTTGGTAAGTCAAGTATAGTCCACTTGGAGGCACGCCCCCCCCTTTCAATCATGAGAAGTATCATTCAGAATGCCCTATATAGAACCCCGTACTGAATCGTGCTTCTACGTGCATAAGGGGAGATCGGGCGTGGTCGCACGAGTTGTTACTTGATGGTATCAGCCCTTCGACACCAACGAAACACCGCCTGTCATCTTGAGTGCTGGTAGTGGAGCAATCGCACCACCAGGAAGCTCTAGAAATGAAATTTGGGTGTTGCATCATAGAGTGGGCGGGACATAGCTCCCTTCATGAGCACCCGGCGTCTTTATCATGTAATTCTGAGCAGTAAAAGGTACATTCTCTACCTGCGCAACGGACTACCTTGCCCAAAGAAGGCATGTGCACAGAACCACGATGCGTGCCTTTACTAGATGATATTCATTTCATTATCTGGCATTTTATCTTTCCATAGCCTGTATTGCTGATGATCAATCGGTTATCCAACTGGGACGGACGTTCGTGCGAAATGGCATCATGCATAAATGTACCATCGTTGGCGATTCAGTAACGTATGAACAAGGTGAGCACTTCCGAAAAGTATCTTTTGATCTCGATTCAGCCTCCGCACTCTGCCCCACCGAACTAGGACGTTGTCGCCAGCAGCGCTGACCTAGCACAGGTAGCGTGCAGCATCGTTGGGAGAATCCTAATCAAGGGTCGGAGCCGGTCGTTCTTTGTTGTTGGAGAGGTACGCCACATTACTTGGTTCTACAAGCTAATACCCCCTTCTCTGTTGGCACCAGACGCCCTGATTAAAACTTGACCATTGTTTTTTGGATATTGAAATGAGTGTTGTCCGGACGCAAGACTTTGATGGCAGAATTCCGAAGGAAAACTAGGAAGTTTTTGGGAAACTGGGGAGAAGTAAAATATTGGATTCTAGAAAGATGGTAGGTAGGATGAGGAAGAGGATCGCACTAGAAGAAGAAATTTGGGGGGTGGGGGAGCTCGGTGTGGAGGCAGGGGGGTGGGTATATCTGACACCCATCCAGATGCTGCAGCGCCCACAAACGCTCGACCCATGCGTTTTTGTCAATTGAGACATGCAATACTAGTTCATGACGTCACATAACATATTTGCGACCCAACGAAGGCTGCACCGTTCTTGATCTTTTCAGGAGCTCATGGGCAATCCAATAGAAAGTGTTCATACAGTCCAGTATACTCGAAAAATCCCTGAGATCGTCAGGCTGTGGGCTCGCCGCTACTTGATTTTAAAATGGCGTCGGCCCAGGTTTTCGTGAGATATTGTCATTTCGGAGCAGTCGTAATCATGTCTACATATAGCACAGAACAAGATAGCAGTTGTTTCAAATTGAAGTATCCCACGAGAAACCCGTCCTATGCCATGCTCAAAAGCCACGCCTACTCCGTCTCAGGGATAAAGGAGTGTACTTATTCGCTGACATCGGCGCCGGAGAAGGTGCAGTCACGCCCGTCCTGTTGTTGGGGATTTTTTTGCAACATACAATTCCCTTTTCGAGATTCCACCTCTGATATGACTCATCCTACCTGGACTTTCCTTACAATTTTTCAAATTCTTCCCCCAGAACCTGGAAGCTGCCCTCGAGCTGCCAGCGAAGAAATGGCAAAATACGACCCTTCGCTGGGGAGCGACTAGATGACCAAAGACGAACTTCTCGCTACGTACGACGGAGGACGTCTCTACGTACGACGTGCTCTGGGCACATAATACCTGTGCGCTTATGAGGGGCCTAGCCTTAGGTGTAGTCAAAAAGCGCTTCTGAAGTTGTATAGATAGGTACTAAGCTTGACAGATGAAGAACTTTGAAATGAGTAGCCTAGATATCCATTCAGAGCTCACAATCTCGGAATTTTTTGACTTCAAGGCCCATTCCAAAGGATTATTCGAATCCTACTGCATTATCGTTTTCCCTTCATGTCTCTTTATGAGCTCATCGCAATAAGACGAATCACAGGTATTCTGCGTCCAGGGCACGTCGTGCGTAAGAGCTCCCCTGCGAGAAGGTTGCTTGGTCGCTCCCCAGCAAAAGGTCGTCTTTGGCCATTTCTTCACTGGCAGCTCGAGGGCAGTTTTCAGATTTCTAGGGAAGAGTAGAAATTTGAAAAAACATTGTGAGGAATCTTCAAGTAGGATGGGGAAGGGGATCATATGAGAGGGAATGTTCGAAGAGGGTGGTCGTATTTCGAGGAAAAATTCCCTAACAAAGTGGCGGGCTCGCCGC